CCCCCAACCGATCGAACATCATCTTCTGTACCTTCTTCTGCATGATCACACCACACGTGATATCCATTTGGTCTTGGATGACAAGCATGTCGCTGCCGCCCAGCTGTCGAAGAGCATGAAGCAAGTCCATCATTCTATCTTGAGCTGAATCTTGGCCCATGATACTTCGGATATGGTTTCTGGTTTGCAGTGGCGTCACTTTACAGCCTGTACAACGTTAGATTATGATAAATAAACCGATAAGATTGAATAATAATAAAGGCGTACTAAACAAAGTTTCTAACCAATGCGGTCGTTCAGGAAATTGGTGATGTGAGTCGAAGAAACACGTGCATCAGCCAATGTCTTCACATCCTCAAGACCTTGATTGTCGAGCGGCAGCGTAGCTGTTGTCAAGTAACTCGAAGCTTGGGTTTCGCTGTTGGAATGTGAGTGTGTATAGTTCTGAAACAGCAGAAGTTAATAGATATTAGCATCGTAATTACATAGACATAATAATAATCATAACATTAGTGCCCAAACCTGGTTCCGAAGCACAATTTCGTAGTGGTTGCCCAATACGCGACAAACAGTGGCCGTTAGTCGCGCCGAGTAGTTGCAATACTGCCCTTGGACCTTGACGTCGGAGAACCACCGCGAGTGCACCAATAGATCCTTTGCGAATACTCGAATGGGACAGGTATTTGGTCTTGGTGCGTTCTAAAACCAAATAAAAACACAGCGGAGCTTCGTTAATACATTTAGACAGATAATAGCATATTAACATTAGTACTTGTTGTATGATTCCATTTTTTCTGGAGATTTTTCGCTACACACAATCATTCAACGGTCAAACTAAACGACCAAGAAACCGGAAATACTAGCTATCTGTCGCTTACCGGGCGCGTTGGCTTCTTGCGCTCGATTCATGGGTCTCGTCACTTTGTCCACGTCGTATCAGAAGCTGGCGTCCTGGTGCCACGTGTCACCCGGGTTCTTCCCGCTCCAGCGCAATTTCTGAAATGAGAGGCTCAGAATTATCATACTTATAAAGAAACGTACTTAAAGAGCAAATTCGTACATAATGCGAAGTGTCATTTTGGGATTTTTATTTCGCAGGTAATTTATCAATTTGGGTAGCGCAACCATAATGGCGTTAAAACGACCCTAAGTGTCTCAAATTATGGTTGCGGTACTCACTCCGAATTTGTGATTTGCGATTGTCATATGTGAAAATCTACCCTGGTCAGACTGGTCACTGTCCGTCAGTGACCAGTTGTCGAGGGAGAGGATACATCACCAGCAGTTTGGCCAAATCCACCGCAGAATCGGACATTTATCACCAGGGTATCACAACTAGAGACACATTTATCACGAGGGACCACAAGTAATTCCATTCGCTGAAAATAGACTTATTTTCAACTGATGCAGAATCTGCATTGCATATTGATTTTTTGTCGCTCAGGGCGCGATTAGTGGTGCTTCGTTGGAGAGGAGCGGTGAGAAGACGTAGATCCCAGTGGGCAGAAGACGTGCGCACTTCCCGACCTCAGTATCCACCGGTAAGGGCAGACGCACATGACGGCCCCCGTAGGCTTTTGCTAATTCAATCGTTGCCTTTGCGAGAACTACATGCACGTAGGACGCAATACTGGAATATGTACATGAAACCTGAGGCAGTGTGTACGAAGATCCTGCTGACGCCTATTCTATACGTCTGAAGAGAAGCTACAGGTTTTCGACGACTATTTAGGGTTCTTCCAGCTTACGTTGGAGGTCAAGGTACAGTTTTCTTCAATATTGACAATACGTATTACTATGTTTTAACGTGTGTAGTTGTCTAGCTGTGCTTACTTA